AAAAGAAGTAAACATTATTAACATTAACAATTGTTTGTTTTTTCTCCTTCTACACATTACAACAACTTGACAAGTACATTCAATGAAAATGTTCTTAATTTACAATATAAAAAGAAATGCTTGTTTCCTATTTTAATAAAAGAAACACAAATTGTTATTTGTAAAAAGAAACAAGACTATGGCTCCAAATGTGATTGTTGATTTACCTATACGTATTACCGTTATCATAGAAGGTCTACTTGGTACAATATTCAATAGTGCAGCGATAATTATTGTTTTCAAAACTCAATTCGGCTCTAAATTAACTACATGTATGTTGAGAGCTCAACCAATATTTGATTTTTGTGCATGTTTTTTTACAGCTATCTATTATATAATTCAATGTACTGACCGTTATAATGAACTGACAGGATTATACATAATTGATTTAGTAATATGTCATACATGGTTTAGAAATGCCTACTTTTGGTTATCATGTACATTTAGTGTACAAAATTTAGTTTGCATATCAGTGGATCGAGTGAGCTCTGTTATATTCCCTAGATTATATAAAACACATTCATGTCAATTTACGGTTACATATTTCGCTTATATGATTTTAATGTCATTATTTCTATATATGCCGGCACCGATACTTCGTCGTTATATGAGTGATCATTGTGAAATGGATTTTTCATTCACTTGTGTTGAAACAAGTTTATTTCTTGATATTATGGTATATTCATGGATTATGTTCGCTTACTTTATACCAGTTCTAGTGATGTTAATCAGTCATATATGGGTGATACATATTATTAGAAAATTTCATTCATCTCGCCATACTTGTATATCTCATAAAAATGAATCAACTTCACATATTAGGCGTAAAATAAGTCAGTTAGTTATAACGACAGCAATTTTATCAGGTCAGCTCGCATTACTGCATTCATATGAGTCTATACGTCAAATATTAATTGCAAATAAAGTTATGGCTTATAACTATCAATCAATAACTGGACACTTAGGTCCTATATTAATATTATTAGGTTGTGTTTTAAATCCATGTGTACTTATACTTACTACAGCTACCTTAAGAAGACGTTTATCGATATCAATAAAAGTTTTTACAGAAAAGATGAGTATTACTGGAAAAAAGGATAGATCTTCAAGTTAATCGATTCACTAAATATCGATTTATCAGTATGTTTATGATCGGTTACAATTAATGTTAAAGATTATAATAGCAACGAGAAAAATATTTGGTACAATAAATGATACTGATCTGTACAATGACTATCATCATTAACAACGATAAAACCATATGTTATTTTATTCGTCAAATATATGTTTCTTCTATTAATACCCATTCATTAATTTAACTCAATACTGATGTATACTGAAATTTTGAGATTTCTGACTATGAGTTTGTACCAATTCCTAACCAAGTTACATAGATACATTTATATCGCAATTAATCCATAAATAGAACCTTATATATATATACATTGTAATGACTACCAAATTTATTTAACAGAATCGATTCAGAAAATAAACAAACCCTGTGAAAATATCACTTTTAATCAAAGAACTGAATATTTATTTTATAAGATAGCAACAAGAATGATTGCCAATCAATGATTGATGTTGTATGTTGATAAAAAGCAAAATAAAACGAAATTTATGACTGAAAACCTTAAATACTGATTGTATATGCATATGTATATATCATTTTCAAGTATTTTATTATATTTATATCTTTGTTATTTCAATGTGATGAACGAATCTTTATTTTATTCCATTCTTTTTTCTTTCATGTGAATTTATGTATTAATTTTGAAAATACCTTCAATCAAGAATATCTTATACAGGTATGCTGTCATATATAATCAGGAAAATGATCATAAATATGTCAGTGATTTAATGTCCAACTATAAAAAGAATTATTCATCTTTCAAACAAGAAATCTCAAATCCATTTTCTCTGCAGTCATATCAGTTTGAATAGCCAAAACATATACAGTACTTTTCAAACAAATACATTTATACTTGGTAAATCAATTATTTCATATTTATTATACGATTTTTAACGATCCAATTATTGTAATTCTCAAGTTTTATCCTCCTTACTATGACGGCTGATTTTGTCCTGTAGATAAACACGTTTCTGTTCTTCGCTATTAATATTCTATTTGATTGCAGTGTAATAAGTTATTTTAAAAAATGGATAGATTAGGGCGTGTAGTAATGATGAGATTTAGCTATTTAGTTTTTTTTGAAAAAAACAAAGACACTTGAAAAAGTATTGATTATTTTGCTTAGATAACGCGATTTACTGATACTTCATTTTTGGAATTATTCTCATGTTACTTAATATTGTTAAGTAGTTATCCTTGTATATAAGTTACATAGTAGATTTCATTTAAATTATGGAGCTATGATTTTGATAATCTAGGTAGTCAATTGTTAAGAGCTGATAGTTGATAAGTTTCTGTTTTCATAATCCATATTTTTATGTATTGTTTCTTGCCCTATTATAAAATAGGGGCCGACATTGAGATTATCCATTATTTATTAAACTAAGCTGTTTTAGATAAGTGAATAAACAAATAGATGAGGCAAACTGAATTTCCATCCCTATTTATAACCATCTCATCTCTTAAAATGAATTTTATTGAAACTTCTTTGTTGATATTAACTGATTAGAGATTCCGTTTTAATTGTCATTTCTGGTCGTCGCTAACTCACATTGGAATCGCTTATTATTTATACTCGTAGAACGAGGGACCATTGTAATTCCCACGACCCGAAATAAGAACGCCAAGATTGGTACAAGTGAAGATTTATTAAACCCAAAACACGACGATCCTAGTCAAGAATACACTTAATATATTTATTGATTTGTACACCCATTTTGATCATTAGTTAACATGAAATCACATATATGAAAAGTATCCAGAATTATAACAAATCAAATGTTGCATGTCACCTCAGAGTAATACAAGAATATCGTATCTTGACTTGAATAAACATTACACTCAAATAAATTAATGTTATACCGAATAGAATACCATACTGGAAAACAAAACAACGGTGTTAATGTCTAACTTCAACCAATCCACGAAGTTGCGCCGCCGTACACCACTGTCTTCAGTGAGTTGATATCTCACAACAGACCTGGTTGAACTCCACTGGTAACGGCTTGTTATACTAGGACGAAGCAGCCGTCCAGTGCTTCCAGGTTTCCCATGGTGATCTAGCTTCAATTGACTCATGATTTTAACCAGTAAAGTTTCTAAAATCTCCACAAACCCCCCTTCTGATAATTGGTATATTCCCATTTTTTATTTCAAGCAGAACCCATTGGAAAGATATAGAACGTTAGACGCGGTGTGGAGAATGACAGGATCATTTATAAAGAGCTTGAAATATCAGAGATTTAGGTAGACAGATAGTGAAAACACTTGAAATTTAAAATACACTGTGTTAAATGTTATGTTGAAATTTAAAGAGGTCATTAAACTGATGTTAAAATGGAATTGTCTGGATAAGTTATGCTACCACAGACTAGTTAAGAGACAGGAATATTCTATTAATCTTTATAAGAGAATAGTACTTCTTATGGAGTGAAATAATTTAGTGCTATTCATTCTTAAGTTTATCAAAACTAAGCAAAACTAGGGGAGTTTGTCAGAGTGACACACTAATCAAAACAGTCTATCGAATAAACCAGAGGACGAAATCAAACTAACAAAACTATCCGTTGGATATTACATAACACTCAAGAACAATGAGAAATGTGCATCAAAATGGTCGTAAGCAAGCTACTTAGAAATTGTTTAAGGGAACCAAAGGAATTTATATAAAATTTAAAAAATCGATATTCGGGATCGAACTTAGTCTGATATCAAATTGACTTTAGTGACCTATCTAAACTCATTTTCTAACATTAAGTACACAAATGCAATCTGTTGACAAATACAGTCTCCAAGTTTACTACTCAGACGTTCACTCTGTTTTACTCCATGGAAGAGAAGCTGAATACTATAAACGAGTTTAATAATACAGCCGAATAACACCAGGTCTGTACACTTATGTCATTATAAATCAATTTCAAGAAAGGATAAACAAGTTGTAAAGGAAAATGTAGCTCAACAGCCTAGTATTGTTACTAAGCTTATTATATATAAAACTAAAGATATTAATGGTGATTCGACTCATGATATACATATGTCCGCTCATTATCATAAGAACTCTGAATCCATCATTTAAAGGGAATAATTAAGAATAAAAACTTGGATGTATGCTATTGATATGAAGATAGATTTTAATTTAAATCAGTAGGTTAACTAAGTCATAGTCTCATGCCTTGAAACACTCCATGTTTCACGGAAATTAATGCTTAGACTTGCATATAATTATTGAGGTGTTCGTTACTTACTACTAAAATACAATGAAGACAAAACCAATTAATATTCATACTTATTTTCCAAATGATTTTGAGTATAAACATTTTCTTCCCAAAAAATATTCAATGAACCATTTCGAACAAGATTTGATTGGCTAAATATATATATATATATATATATATATATATATATATATATATATATATATATATATATATATATATATATATAATATTGTCAGAAATCCTATTTTGAATTTCATTTCACAGTAAATCAAAAGAAGAGAACTGAACAATGAATGAAACTGTTTACGTTACTTTACCTATCCGGATTATTGTTATAATTGAAGGAATAATTGGTACACTATTCAACATGGTTGCGATAGTTGTTATTTTTAGAGTGACCATAGGTTCTAAATTCACTTTATTCTTACTAAGAACTCAATCTTTACTTGACTTCGGTGCATGTTTCTCAGCAGCAGTTTATTATATAATTCAATCCACCAATATCTATAACAAACACACTGGCTTATACATTATCGATATCCTGATATGTCACTTATGGTTTCGAAATGCATCCTTCTGGTTATTTTGCATCATGAGTGTGCAAAATCTAGTTTGTATATCATTGGATCGAGTGAGTTCTGTCCTATTTCTTGGATCATTCAAAACGTATACGAATAGATTTTTCGTACTATACTTTCTTTACATGCTCAGTATGCTTTTAATTTTGTACGTACCAACACCACTGCTTCGTCGTTACACTGATAGCCGATGTGTTATGGATTTTTCATTCCCCTGGATTCAAACAACAGCATTTCTTAATTACATTGTATACTCCTGGGTTGTGTTCGAGTACTTTGTGCCAGTTTTAGTCATGTTGATCAGTCATGCATGGGTCATACATATTATTAAGAAATCTCAATCATCTCGTCATAGTAATTCATCACAAAATTTGGAGTCCAGTTTGCAAATTAAGCGTACAGTGATTCAGTTGGTGATTACAACAGCAATAATGTCATGTCAACAAGCTATATTACACTCGTTTGAATGCATAAGTCAAATATTAATCATATGTGAAGTTGTAGTTTACACTTATGGTACTCCGATTGAACAAATGGGTACAATACTTATATTATTTGGATGTTCTTCTAATCCATGTATTCTTATCTTCAGCACAAGTACACTGAGAAGATATTTATTGTCACTAATTAAAGGTAAAAGACAAAAAATGTCCAGTATTGAAACATACGGGCAAACAGAATATAATCAGCACTAAGAGTATATGAATATATTAATGTTAATCATCGTCTGAATCGATAATACTTACCACATTAAAATGAGTGTTGTACAGTGAGTGAACTGGATTTTCTGTTGTCCTATTATTAAAGAAAGTATTTTTATGATGCCAAAACACAATCTACTCATCTATATAGTTTTATTTTCTAATAGCACTGTTTGTCTATTGACTATTGTGCCTGTCTGTAATCTAATTGACCTTAGTAGTAGTTGTTATTCGATATACATTTGCATGTATCTGAATTAACTGTCATATTCGCGTCTATACATCTAATCAGTAATAATTATTTCAGTCAGTTGTTCCTGATATTTTCTGAGTCATTATTTTCATTGTTTTAAATTGAATAAAAAATCTACACCATTAGACTTATAAGTCTTATTGTGCAAATGATGGTTTAATAACAATTTTGTTACTTCATAACTGAACATTCCGTGATTGGTTTTATCAGATAAATAGGACTGAGTGCTTACGTTACATGACAAGCATTTCCTTGCTGCCAATTACTTCAAGCTTTTCACCTGCTGAGGTGGTCAATTAACGTTTAATAGCACAAAAAAGTCGAAAACAGTATCAAGTGTATTTACTCTCATTTTAGTGTGAATATTAACTTCTTTGTCGTTGTGTACTTGTTCACTGGAAAACAAACGTTATGCTGTTCTCGTCAATGATTGTACCTCAATCAGAAAACGAGGCAATATCATTAGGAATAATGGCACACAACACTGCAGACTGTTTATCTGTATTGATTACTTTTTAAAAGCTAGAAAAAAAATGTCTAGTACCATTGGTGAAGATATTGTCAGTGTCTATTAACACAGATATGAGTCGAACGCTTGAAATAAATAGGTTGTGAACTCCATATGAGAATGATATTAAATGGTAAGTAAAGAGACACTTTGTCTAAACCTGACTACTTGAGAAGCTCATACCAATTACAAAGCAAGTAAACTAGATTCTCAGCTTCACTGTTCAGAATGGATGCAATGAGTAACTTGGTTTAGGTAGTCAGAATAACGAATAGTTACTTAATTCTAAAAATCAAAGTATTTTCTTAAACCAGCCTCTTCATTGAACGCTTACAGGAACGCGTTTTTTATTGGTCACAGAGGCAAAGAGATAGACGGTAAACCGACGAAATTTCAGACCCTTAAGTGCTTTCTTCCTCAGTTCGATGCTCGTCTTTAGTAATATACCCCTCTTGGTTTTAGAGGGGTATTAGGTAAACATTTTCTGGAAGATTTACAGTCATTCTTGAGATAATCCATCGGTGGTCTGTGATCTGTGAACAAGAGAAATGTCATCTGAAGAGAAGTGAAATTCAAAGTGTTTTTTTTTGCATTCGTCATCTGATGACAATGTGATAGAACATACAAAGCTTTAGAATGGCAACAAAGTAACTCAAACTGATGTAGAAATGATGAAGGCTTAAGAAGTTATGGGTAAGTTTGTACTGAGTGTATATCTTGTAATGCTATGCAAGCCCACATAGCTTCCAGACAGGCCAATCTATTCGTTCTTCTTGAGTTACATCTTTGACCTTGTTAATCATTTGCTTGTCAACCATAAATGTCTTTGTGTGAGCGTATATATGTGCATTTCTTATCGTACTCATCACATGTCTGTAGCTTATTTTTGTTTGGCTATAAATATCAATTCACGCTTGCTTAAATCGAATTGACTAACACGCCTTCCCCACCGCGCGTCATTTCGTTTCGTTATCTTGCCTTCGCTCCGTTTGTTCGCTCGTTTGTTTGGATCAACGACTGTATGAAATATACGTATTGGAATCCATCCTCGTATCTGAATTATTTTGACTCCGTTATTCACTAACACGGTTTAAGTCGATGATTATATACGAGGATTGACGACATGTATATTTCGACAGCAATAATTCACTAAGAATCAACCATATGATATAACTGGAGGGAAAGGTTGATATCATTCACCTTGATCTTATCAATAAGCTCAAACGACTAGGTATCAAACCACCTCTAATCGATTGGCTTACTTCATACCTAAAAAATCGACACTTTAAGGTTAGGGTTAATTTCACTTTATCTCAGGCTATGGAATGTCCTAATGGGGTCCCCCAGGGCTCAGTACTAGGGCCTCTTCTCTTCTTGATCTACATAAACGATCTTCCTCAATAGGTAACGTCAGACTTATTACTTTTTGCCGACGACGTGAAACTTTGGAGAGAGATACGCAACCAAGACGATATACAGGCACTTCAGGAGGATCTGACTCGACTTCAAAGTTGGGCAAACGATAACGGACTTACCTTTAACACTTCAAAGTGTAAAGTAGTCCATCTGCGACATGTCGCAAACTCCAGTTACAACTTAGGAAACTCCTCTCTAGTAATATCCCAAGTCGAAAAAGATTTAGGAGTCCTGGTGCCCCATGATTTAAGGTCTTACGCTAACTGTGACAAAAATGTCTTCCGAGCAAACCTTGCACTGGTAACGTTGAAGCGCATTTTTGGACAGTTTGACGGACGAACTTTCCATACAATCTTCAATAGAGTACGGAAACATAGTACTCCCCCCTCACTCCAAAAGGAAAAGATCACTTTGAAGCGTATCCAACGGCGAGCCACGAAATCAGTTCGAGGACTCAAATCTAAACCTCACGAAGAACGCCTCCATTCACTAGACCTTTACCCATTAGAGTATAGGCGTCTTAGAGGTGATCTTCTGATGGCTTATAGCATCCTTAACACTTCTGGACATCCTCTTAAACATCTACTTAAGCTTAGTTCGAATAATAACCTAAGCGGTAACACCCAGAAACTGGAGACACAACATAGCAAAACGGAACGTAGACATAACTTCTACTCTTTAAGAGTTGTCAAAAGCTGGAATTCGCTGCCGGCCGAGCTAGTTCAAGCGACTTCTCAGGAGTCCTTCAAGAGGCAACTTGACCTATTCTTAAGGACCAAGGACAGCATCACACTATGATATACCAATTTCTTTTCCTCTTTTGTTGTTAACATATCTAGGTTACTGCCTGGAGGATTTGGTGATCCCCTGCTACTAGACACGGAAGCCTGTTAAGAGCAAGCTTCTTCTATTCCGTCCACAACCATTTGAACCATTTGAACTGGAGTCAGATCTCGGTCCACTTAAATCTTCGGGTTGTAGCACAGGACTGAAAGTCTTTGATGCGTTTTGTCAGGAGGAGGAACTAAGAGAATATTGTGACGAGCATGTTAGCATTAAGCGATTTTTTTTGTAATTGTGAGCAGATTGAGCTGTAAGTATTAAATGGATAAGAATAATAATTTCTATCGTAGATCATATTTAGGCGCTATTTATTTCATATGAGAAATAATTAAGTAAGAAGTTTAACAATACTGGAAATCAAGCTTGATTAACAGTCATTGCTCGGTTTGAAGCTATCACGAGTCCACTTAATCCGTGAACGAGAACAAAACTCGGTGACCAAAGACCAGAAAGCTAGCTATCGATGCGTCCCAGCTCCTCTAACAAGAGGGAGAAGCCCAAGCTTGGAATGGGGAGTATATCCTGCAAGACAGCCAGGAACGAGCGATAACAAAAAACACAATTCAAAACGTATGTATATACAGTGCCGAACCGTCCTTGGGGATAGTTACTAAACAGCATTTTAAAAGACGCAGCGGACCAATAGCATTTAAGGTATTTCCCAGTGGGAAATACGACATGAATGTGACAAGAGCGTATTTGGCGCAAAAACAAAGAAATTCAAATTTTCCAAATAAAATTACAAAATTAGGTCCTTTCCCGAGTGAGTTCTGGAGATCTAACGCCCCTAACAGTCATACTGGATGGGTAGGCTCTGGAAAAGATAAAGGCCTTCTAGTACCTGGGTATCATCATCGATAAACAAGGAGGAACTGACGCAAATATGGAGGCATAAGGAAAAAGTAGGTTACCTACAATTAAAGAATATCAGTAAAAGGTTTTGGAGATTATCGAGTTTTGTCGAGATCATGAATCGACCAATGCTAAACCACCCTTGAAAACTTGCAAGCACTGGACGGTTGTTCAGCCCTAATATGCAACTCTTAGGGAGTGAGCGTTCACGATCCCGTATGTGGGACTCGAATCCAGGACTATCGGACTTGCCTCGAGAGGTTATACTTGAAGTTCTAGTGTGAAGGTAAACCGTGTCGGATGTGAGGTACTTGCTCACCTAAGACAAGGGGAAATGGTTGCCCAGCCTCATGGATAGGTTAATTTCGGACATTTATACTTTTGGATGACGGCCCAGTGGCTTTTGGTTTCTCATCATCTAATTACAACCATATATGTTTTGAAATGTAACATCTAGATAAGATATAAAATGAAACAATTGACGCTAATGACGAAAAAACTAAAACGACAAGAGTTGTAGATAATATATAAATACATCGGCCCTACTTACTTACGTCTGTTAGTCCCACCCTCACCCGTGAAATAGCAAAGGCCGTCTATCAGCATTCTCTATCAAGCGCTGTCCTGGACAATTCTTTCCACTTGTTTCTAGTTGCTATTCATACTTTTCATGTCTGCTTCGGTCTACCTATTTTCCGTTCCGCTTCAGAATACCAGGTTAGTGCTTTCACTGTGATGCGGTTTAGTGATTTTCACGATGTTTGTTCTATCCAGTTCAAACGTCTCTTCCTAATTTCCTCTTCAAATGGAAGCCAGTTTGTTCCCTCCAACAGTATGTTGTTAATGGTTTGGCATCCGGTCAATGGACATTGAGTACGATGTGTAGAAAATTGTTTGGAAATACTTGTACATTTTTGATGATGGTTGTGATAGTTGTTCAAGTTTCAGCTCCATATGATAGAACTGTGTTAGCGTTCGTATTGAAGATTCCGACTTTGATATTGGTTCACAGTTGTTTTGAGCTCCAAATGTTTTTCAAGTATAAGAATGCTGCCCTTACTTTGACAATCCTTGCATTCACGTCTGCATCGAATCCTCCTTGTTCATAGACGATGCCGACCAGATAGGTAGATGAAAGTTTCCACCTTCCCCAATGTTTCTTTATCAAGTGTGATTGGATTGGTGTTCCTCATGTTGCATTTGAGGACGTTGCTCTAGACTTGTGTATGGTGAGGCTTACTGCTCCAAAGAATGATGCTACACTAGTTGTCTTTACCCGCATTTGTCAGTATGTACGGGATAGGTTGGTTAGGTGATCTGTGAAATGCAAATCGTCTAATCTAATCCAAGCAGTTCATTGTATCCCATGCTTCTCCTCAGATGTCGAGGATTCCATAATCCAG